CCTGATTTTATGTGAGCCGCCCTGAGTCCCCTCAGGGAAAAGGGCGGCCTACAAATGTTAATAAACATTACAAACATTACAAACATTATTAAACTTCTCTTTTTATTAGCAATTATTTCCTCTCATTGAACTGGAATTTGACATCCTGGAATTTTAAGCCTCTTATTCTGTATCTTACATTCTGGAACAATAAGGAAGGCATTGTATAAAACCTTCCCTGGTCAAGCATTCTTAGAGGTTTCTTACTGACTAAAAACACAAATTTTATATCCTTGTATTAAATTTCATAATTAATTTTCTTTGATACCTAGATTTTACCTCACACATTGTGGGTTCTGTGCATCATCCATTATATTAAATTTAAAAATGTGAGCTTGGCCTTTAAAATTCGGTTTTAGCTGACCGTTACAATCCCAGGACTTCACACATAAAGCAAATATCAACTCTTATAAGATAGGTCAAATTATAAAGCAGATACTTACAAGTTTTGGGAAGCATATTAATGTGTTAGGGATGCTGTAAAGGTTAAAATGTTAAAATTGTATAAATAAAAATAAAACAAATAAAGCAGATATTTACAGTTTTTAGGAAACATACCAATATGTTAGGCATGTTGTAATAGTTATGCAAGCATATTTCTTTTTTATATTGTGTTTTATAGTGTTTTAGTTTTATTATATATGTATTTTTGTGTTGTTTTGTTATTTTTAATGTTGTAAGCCACTCAGAGTCACTTCATGTACTGAGAAGAGTGGCAATTAAATTAAATTAATATTAGAATGTATTTATGTGAAATGCTGGGTTTTGTTTTATTTTTCAGGTGTCTATAAAAGCTATTAAATACGAAGTTTCACCAGATAGAGAGTATGGACTCTTTGCCTATGACATTGTGCCGGTAAGTAAACAGCCAGTATTTATTTTGCTTTTAGTTTAATGGTGTTTTCTTGACGTGACAAGTATAATTTTACCCCAGAGAAAGATTCCTATTGAAATGATTGGTCTTGACGTGACAGGACTTCGTTATACATAATTGCATGTAATAACTTAAAGGAATGGAAATAAGAGCATAAAGGAAGGGAAAAATAGCAACATTATGGTAAGAGAGAGATGGATTACCATGTTTTCCCAAAAATAAGACCTCCCCAGCCCTCCCCAAAATATTGCAACACAGCAGCAGCCATGAGGTGACCACACTCGCCACTTCCTACACCTCAAAAATAATAAGACCTCCCCAAAAATAAAGCCAAGTGCTTACTTCGGGGGACAAAAGAAAATAAGGCCCTGTCTTATTTTTAGGGAAACACAGTATTAATTTAAAGAAGGTAAAATGAGACATCTCTCATGAAAAATTATTCCAAAAGGATAATATATGTAAGAGGTGGTCCTACAATTTTTATTTTTGCTGAAGCATTTACATATATGCCAGCTAAAGGATAATTTAGAAAAAAATATAGGTATATAATTGTTGGCTGGGCACTTGATCACTTTGGTGGATTCCTCTCGATGCGTAATTAGGAATGAGTACCAAAATGGCTCTATCTGCTGAGAAAATTGCCTAATCATGGCTATGGAATTAGCAGGAGTAGATTTCAACTTGAAGATTTTCCTTACTCTTCAATAGCATACATTTCACCATTGATTTTAGAACTAGATTTAGTAGATGTGATGAGAAATCCCTATTTATACAAAGAGAGATGTGCTGCATGTAGCAAAATATAAAAGGTATCACTGGTGGATCGAGCAATTGTTGGTCCTTTGGTTATGAAAACTATAAAACTATCTCTTCACAAACTATTGCTTCCACTTGGGAAGTTCAGTTCTATACGTGCCACCAACACAGCCATTGGCTGGAGGATTAATGGGAACTCCCATAACTCAGAATTTGAGCTTCTTTAGATAGACAAAAACTGCTGTAGCACTTTGCTGCAAAAACGTTTACACTTCTTTGTTTAAATGTCTGTAGAGATTCTCAGTTATCCAGGTCTTTGGTTGTCCCAAAGGTGGATTTTCAGGAAGCAACTGGACTTTCTTGTTTCTCTTTGAAGATGTTTCGTTTGGAAGAAGCTTCTTGGATAAGAAGCAAAACATCTTCAAAGAAAAACAAGAAAGTCCAGTTGCCTCCTGAAAAAGCGCCTTTGGGGCTGTCCACAACCTGGATAGCTGAGGATCTCCATAGACATTTAACTATGCACTTTGGGATGAACAGCCTTTGAATGATGTATGAACAAAGTATGAATGGATTTCCAGTAAAAAAAAAAAATGCAGACCATAGGAACCATTTGCACTTTAGTTTGAGATGCAGACCAGGTTCATCCATAACATCCTGCACCTGTCTTCAACAATGAAGGGGCACAGGGCAGAAAACATCTGGAGCCAAGAAGTCTCCATACACATTTGGAATTCTTAGGTGACTCTGGGGATACAGATAAAGCTCCAGGTAGCCTCAGCAACTCTAAAAGAATGCAAATGACCAGCTGTCTGCAAGGAGTATAAATCCTGCCATTCCGCACCATCCTGTCGGAGCTGAAGCTTCTCAGATGAGAAATGAAATATCTTCAAAAGAAAAAAAAAACAACAAAGTCCAGTTTCCTCCAGTAAAAAGTACCTTTGGGAATTCCTTGTTTAACTTTCTTACCAAACTTTCTTAATCATTATAAATTTTAACAGAAGGTAAATGTCAGTACCTTTCACTGCTGAAATAACTCATTAATTATAATACCTCTCTTCCCGTGTCAGGCTTAAGGTTGATATATATCAGCATGCATGAATATTCAGCTGCTTAAATGTCCAAGGAATTTAAACCCAATCATTGGACCAGCAATCTTCTTGGGGCCAGTACTTTCAAAATCTTAATAATTTATATTCCAAACAAAAAATAAAGAAGGGTGAGTAACCTAGATTATGAGATTGCTGGAAATGCTTAGTTATATCTTTGAAGGTGAAGATATGTAGAATTCTGATATATTTTCCATTTCACAAATAGTGGCGTGTTCCTGTCTGTTAGCAGGTGAACTGAATAAATTACGCAAAAGAATCAGGTTTATGATTGAAGAAGCTCTGAAGGAGAAAGGCTGACACCAATGATGCAGAATGTTCATCTCTTTTTTCATAAATAGCAAAAAAAAAAAAAAAAAGTAAGCAACCCAAGTTGTATTGGAGAATTGTAGAACAATAATTTCAGGATACATACCGTAGGAGTGGCTTCAATATTCAGATAATCAGACTCTGAATAGAACTATGGAAATCAATGGGATCTAATGTGATGATGAATCTAATCCAATTAGTATTATTTCAAATGGGAGTAAATCAGTTCTGTTTGTCTTGCACCAGATGCCATCGTGGTTGCATCATAAATAGGCACCAGCTCTGGACTGATGGCACAGTTAATTAAAAGAATTATCAACTATCAAAAGAATTACTGGTTTGAGTGGAATTCCTATTGACGTCATCAACAGGGCGACAACAGCGCGGAGACAGAAGCACGCTGTAAACCTAAACCTAAAATTAACCCCTAAACCTAGACCTAACCCTTAACCTAACCCTAAACCTAACCCTAAACCTAATCCTAACTCTTAACCTAACCCTAAACCTAACCCTAACCCTAA